ATTATCAGACTTACAGCTAGAGGATCTAAGTGTGATGTCTTGAGGGGCGAAGCAGATCAAGTGGGCACATCCACTAGTACCACACCACACACATCTACTAGCTCTGCAGCACAACAATCAAGTAAAGGTATTCCACTTCTTATATGGTATTGAATTATATTTATATCAAGTGAGCAATTAACATGATAATGAACTAATGATCATTCTTACTGAACAGGGAAGAGAAAAGTGAGTCATATTGAAGATGATGATGATATGACATTTATAGATATATGGTATTGAATTATATTTATATCAAGTGAGCAATTAACATGATAATGATCTAATGATCATTCTTACTGAACAGGGAAGAGAAAAGTGAGTCATATTGAAGATGATGATGATATGACATTTATAGATATAATTAGAGAAGAGGATTCCCTTGAAGACCCATTTAGTGATGGGATATGATTGGATTTTATATGTTCCTTGTACTTTGGGAGTTCTTATAAACTATAATTTTGTGATTTTGTACTTTGGAACATGTTTTTATTGCATCTCTTTTCTTAATTTTCACTAATTCTACTTGTCATTTAGATGTTTTTATTGTATGATAGAATCTAGCTTTTATTTACCTGCTAAAACCCTTAAATTTTCATTTACGCAATTATGCGTCCGTGAGGCTTACGCCTCACACCGCCTCAAGGCTTACGCCTCGCCTCACAGACGTAAACCGCCTCGAGGCTTAATTACGCAATTTTAAACCTTGATTATGATGAACTGCTCTCTCCCATTCCTCCTCTCCTAAAGAGTCCAATGTCGGGCATTTACTTCAAGATTTATGTAAGTTTTAATATATATAGCGTGAGGCGTAAGCCTCATTCCAGTGAGGCGAGACGAGCCTCAACCAAGTTGAGGCGCAAGCCTCATAAAAAAAAACTCGAGGCGTAAACATCGAGGCATTTTTTACTAGAATTGCGCAAAGGCGAGCCTCATATTGCGCAATTTTAAACCATGGTCTGAACCTAAAGAGCCTAGGAAACTATTAAAGAAATATAAAGAAGAACATTTGGTTTGACAAAATATAGACTTAGCATATGGTTCACCACAAAGATATGGGCAAGCAAATATTATTTCTTATGCATGTGAGGTTGTTTTTTTATCTGGTGATGAACAAGCTCGTACAAGAAGCCATGAAATGTGCAATAAGAACTAAACAACAGCAAGCGATGAATAAAGAGATAGTCTCTCTTAAAAAGAGTTAACATTTCAGAGTTGACAGACAAGCAAAGAAATAAGAAGATTGTCAGTTACAAATGATTGTTAAGGAAGAATGATGGAATCCTTGAAAGAAAAGAGTCAAGATTCAAAGCTAAGCTTGTAACAATGAAGTCTACACAAGAAAATGATGTAGACTACGTAGACATTTTTTTCTCTCCATTGGTAAGGCATACTTCCATATGTGGTGTTCTTGCTACTGAATGTATAGTTAGACATTCTTGCGTTTTTGTTCAACAACTTTCTACGCAATTTTTCTTTTACCGTCAGGATTTCCTCCTCCAATAGAGTTGCATCCTTAGTGCACAGGTGCCTTCACCTTCAACCTCCAACGATTGAAATCTTCAGCTTCAATTAGTTATTGATAATTGTCTTAAGAATTTCATGATTCTTTGACTGCTCCGCCTCAATTTGTAATCTATGATTTGCACCATCATTTTTGCTTTGAGGCATAGTTCTTGAAACTAAATTTGCTTGCATCTCATATGCTTTGATGCCACAAATTGGTTTCATTAGCAAGATTACAGGACATGTTAGCATATTGTTGAATTGCCATTTTACCTTGCAATGTATACACTCCATTCATAAGAATACCTTTCATGATGTTTAGAGAACCTTTGCACACTGTTGACCTGCATGCTAGATCCAAAGGAAACAAAAAAAAAAGAAGCCATGAATCCAGTGCGCAAACCTCTTAAACCCTAAATTCCCAAATATCCAATCTTTCCATTCCAAATCCATGCTGCTACTATATGCCATATACCACGTATTTCTACGTATCTGATTGACGACTAGCCTTAATCGAAAGTTCTCTCTCGTGATCGGGAGGGGTAATTAACTATAGTGGCTTGCGCCTATAGGAAACCAGAACTCAGATTATAAAGTCCTCACAAAATGAGGGCGAAATCTCTGGGTAGTGTCTTATCTACAAACCCATCTGCCTTCCAAAATTTACCCCGGAATCTATCAGTTAAAACTCCCTCGCCGAATAAAAAGAAAAGCGGGCGGAGGCCGGGGCCAAATTTTCGGAGCCCACACACACATTTGGGCTTCCACCTTCGCATTTGAAATTGTATATGTGGTGATATAATTCACCAAGAAAAAATAGATTTCTTCTTACTTCAGGGACATAACTTGCACTTTTTAGCAATCTCTCGATGCCATTGTGAAGTTTGAGTCAAATGACCCTTTCACCTTAAACCTTGCAAGCCTTGTTTCCAAGGTACAATATGCCACCTTTCTTTTCATTAAGAGTCTTGAACCAATTCTGGTTTGGTCATATATTATAGGAGCATCCTAATCAAGGAACCACTTCTTGCTTGGATCAGAGTCCAAGATTGATATTAAGACATCGATGTTGTCATAGCCATCCTCCATAGTTGCAATATCTCCTTCTTCTAGAACCCTTTCTAGGTTTTTGCTCCTCTTCATGCATTGCTTCTTGAAATGAACTTCATGACAAAATGATTTTCTTCTCGCCTTTGACTTGGGATCTTGATTGGTTTTGTGTCATTAGAATAATGATATCAATTCTTATTTTGTTTGATACATTAGTCCATAATGTTGATGAATAAAAAGAAACTGAGGGGGGATTCAAACTCTCAGGAAATAAAAGTCTATATAGCCATTCCAATGCTACGCCTTGAACCACTCAATCATCTCTCCTACAAAATGTTGTTCTTGAACAAAACCCAAATAAATAATGAGTCATTCATCTTAATTGTAGTGCATATATAACCGCCTAATGGTTCTATAAAAAAAAATTATTTTCCAATTTCATATTTATCAATAACTTTTTTCATCAAACTTTGAACCTCACTTTTCATCTATCTCGCACAGTTAGCCCTTCTAGTGCACTATCATGATTAGATTCTATGTTTCTTTGAATCTATTTTGAATTAAGTGCAGCATTTACTTTTAACATAGCCAAAAGAATCTTTTTTGAATTGAGTGCAGACTTTCTTTTCTTTATCCATTTGCAATGCGCTCAACTTCTTTTTGATATACAAATGGTTTGCCTTAAAGTTTTTGAGATACAAGGATTCTAACATTCTCCAAATGTTGATGATTGTTCTTTCATCTGCCTCTTCTAGAAGAACTTCATCTCCACTACTTAGTAGAATTGCATTGAGAGCTTATTTGCTTTGACATGTTACCTAATTTGCCATTTAAACTTTATATGATGCTTAATAACCACCACAATACCTTACGAAATTGGAACATTTAGACTAAAAGGAGATAAATTCTTGATTGGTCCCTATTATATTTATTTGTTTCAACATATTGGGATATTACTCATGGCAAAAGCAACAAACAGAAATGTTCAAATGGGTTGACAAGAAAACATTGCTTTGCAAAGTTACCTAATTTCCCTTTTAAACTTTATATGATATATGATTCTTGGCAACTAGACAAAAATATTGCTTGGACAAGTTACCTAATTTACCATTTAAACTTTATATGATGCTTAATAACCACTACAATGCCTCATGAAATTGGAACATTGAGACTAAAAGGCAAGAAATACTTGATTGGCCCCTATTATATCTACTTGTTTCAATTGGGATATTACTCATGGCAAAAGCAACAAGCAGAAATGTTCAAATGGTCCTAGCAAAAATGAAAAGCATGTATTGCGATAAATTGGTTTGGAAAATGGCTCAAATTGACAGCATAGTTGAGCAGCCTTCAGCAAAGTCATAGAAATATTAGAATAACAACAATATGCAACCAAAATATAAATCCAAAAATAGAAGAATAACAACAACAACAACAACATCAAGCCTTTATCCCACTACGTGGGGTCGGCTACATGAATCCTTTTTCTCCATTGTGTCCTATTAAAAGCCAAATTCTCGTTTAAATCTAATAAAGAAAGGTCATTCCTAATATTTTCTAACCAAGTCTTTTTAGGTCTACCCCTACCTTTCTTAACACAAGTCAAATCTAATACCTCTACTCTCCTAACCGGGTCGTCGGAAGGCCGCCTTTTTATGTGACCAAACCATCTAAGGCGACTCTCTCTAATCTTATCTTCTACTGGAGCTACTCCAACCTTTTCACGTATATGCTCATTTCGTATCCTATCTCTAAGGGTAAAGCCACTCATCCATCTAAGCATCCTCATCTCTGCCACACTTAACTTAGTATTATGCTTCTCTTTTAATGGCCAACATTCGGCACCATAAAGTATTGCAGGCCTCACTACCATCTTATAGAATTTTCCCTTAAGTTTGAGGGGTACATTTCTATCACATAACAAGCCCGATGCATTCCGCCACTTCAACCATCCAACTTGAATTCTGCTGATAATATCCCCATCTATTACACCATCACTCTGAACAATAGATCCAAGATACCTAAAACGTGTACTCTTATTAATGACTTGATCGCCCAAAGTCACAATCCCCTCACTAGGACTATTACTGCTAAAATTACACTCCATATGTTCCGTTTTAGATCTACTCAAGCGAAAACCTTTAGACTCTAAGGTTGACCTCCATAATTCAAGTTTACCTTCAACTCCCTCTCTAGTCTTATCAACAAGAAGAATATCATCAGCAAAAAGCATACACCAAGGTACATCATCTTGCAAATGTCTAGTGAGAACATCCAAGAATAGAAGAATAAGAACGAAAAAATATAAAGAGTTCACAAGTCATACGGAAAAAAATTGCAGTGTGACAAAATATCAGAAAAACGTTCATAGGCAGAATTTGTTTTACTAGGTTCATAAACTTTACCAAGCTTTGTTCCAACAAGAACTATGGGAACACCAGGAGCATAGTGCTTTAGCTCTGGAATCCACTGGAGGACAACAAATTCATGATGCAGCACAACATATTGTCAGTACTAAAGATAGAGAGCAAATTGGAAAACTAAAGTAACGCATTACCTTCTTAGCAATATTTTCATAACTGGCCTTACTGATAAGAGAGAATGCTAAGAGGAAAACATCAGCACCACGATAGCTGAGTGGTCTTAATCTATTGTAATCCTCCTGGCCTGATCCATCAGTGTAAAGTAGTGTCAAGCAATGCTAAAATTAAAAGACAATCAAATAAAAAGAGAGAAAGATGACAAGTGTAAGATACCAAATAAAAAGTCAAAATTACCTGCGGTGTCCCACAAACCTAGGTTGACTGTGTTGCCGTCAACGACCACATTTGCACTGAAATTGTCAAAAACTGTTGGCACATAGTCCTGAAACAAAAAGTAAATGAAATAAAACATAACAATCTACATAACACTGCCACAGTTGCACCCAAATAGTAAGCCACAGCAAAACATGAATTTAATTCTCCTAAAACAAGCATTTGATAATTTGAAAACCATTAAGTCAGTTATAGGTTCCTTAGGGAGAAAATGGCAATCATGGATGCCTAACTTTTCATATCCACATAATCAGAAAAACTTTTAGGGGCTGTTTGGCTGCAAGTAGGATTTAGAAACGGTATGAGTCATCAAAATCAACTGCCTAATACCTATATTATAACCGGTAGGAATGTCACACTAGAAAATTTGAAAAAAAAAAATCACTGGTATAACTCCTATACTAATTTTAAATTTATAAAGGGAGGCATTAGCACTCCTTCGTGAGTCTAAAAGGTAGTTTGCTACTAGGGCAATAAAGATGAAGAGATTTCTTAAGGAAAAATTCTGCAATAAAGAAGCTCCAACACACGCCCAAAAGTTGATGAAGATGTGCCTATCTACAATGGTCAGCTAAATAGCACAACCAAAACACCTAAATGGCCTGTGTAACATAACATTGTGTTGAGCAAGTGGCTTATGGAGCCTTACCTCTATGAGAATATGTCGAACAATTTATTGAAGAACTTGTGGTATGATGTTGTGGATGCAACTGAATTGGCGTTTATGCACAAATTATATAGAAGCAATTGTTATAACAAGATCTAAAAAAATATGAAGCCCAATTTTAGAAGTTTATCCCAACTCTCAACTCGAAGCAGCTAGTGTTGAGATGAACAATTGCATATTCCAATCACAACAGATGAGAAGTGGGAGGACATCATGCAAGTACACTTCTGTTTTCATACTTTCCTCATTTGACAATTCAAAAAATGGTTTACTCCTACCTATGATGCACCGGCACTTCTCAATAAGATATGCAGCGTCTGACACATATCTGGCACGACACGCATTCGACATGCCTCTGATATATATCAGCCACGTTGAAAATGTGTCCGATTAAAAAATATTAAAAAGAAATTAAACACATATATCGGACACAATAGTCTTAAATATTTTAAGAAAAATTTTTAATATAATTTCTTATATTTCAATATTTTATTTATTAAAAAATAAAAATTTTATTTTTTATTTCCTCTCAGCAACCCCAAATCAATTGTCTACGCTCAATACCCCATTCCCCAAACATACATTTCCATTTCTACATGCAGATTGCAGCTAGGGTTTTACAACAACGCCCAATGTCGTCGCAACATCGATGTCCGATGCCTTCACAACATCAATGTTTCAAAAACCATCTGAAAATCTAAGTTTGACACTAGCAACTTCTACCCCCACAATCACACCCCCGCATTGTCTCGACATCCATCTTTAGCCAACATCATCTCAACATTGACGACCGATGTTGTCTCAACATCGACGCTCGATGCCCGACTCTTGATAGCATTATTGTCTTCCCGTCTCGACACTTGAAACACGACATCGACGTCTAACTCTCGACATCCTAATATTAATCATTTCAAGAACAAATCCTAGTTAAATAATTTAATATTTCTCAATTATTCTTAATATTCTAATTACTCAATTTTGATAAACTATTTTTAAGATATAAAAAATTATAATACCGTGTCTAACCAGTGTACATATAATATATTTTTAATAATTGACATATCTCATGTCTGTATAGTCTTATCCGTGTCACCGTGTCTGTGCCTATGCATCATAGACTCCTACTCAAACCCTAAGTTCAAACATGAAAAACCTAAATATGGCACATTTTCATAGAAAACCTTTTCATCAGTACAAAACTTTTGAATATTTATGCTAAAAATATAGCTATTGGTACAGCTTCTCGTTGCACTAAGAAGATAACTTCCACATACCTACCTAACAAATATGAAGTTGCAACTATTGATAATGACTTCATGTCAGCACATGGAGTTAACTTTGTTAATGACTTCAATTGGATAGATGCACAACTAGATGTTGACATGACTGGCGAGATAGAAATCTAGCCTTCTTTAGATCCCAAGGTTAGTTCCAAGAATCAAACAAGGATGCGATAGGAAGTGCTTGCAGAAATTTAGGAAAAGCCTCGGCTAAAATTTGATTTCAACAATTTCAGAAAACCAATGACAAGAAAACCAGGAATAGAACACACAAGAACATTTTTTTTATTGAAAGTTTTATAAAAAAATACAAGATACAAGTGGATCTTCAGTTGGAGAGGAAGATCCAGCTTTTCCAAATCTCTAATTATCGGCTAGAGCCCAAACACCCTAAGAACAATCTAATTTCAGCAAACAATACATACTCATAACCATAGGAAAATCACTTATTTAAAGCAAACAATAAGAAGCAAATACCCAAACAACCTTCCCCAAATTCCCTCATATTTTCTTAATTATTTCCCTTCCAAATCAGCCCCTAAATCTACCCTCCTCAATTAGAAAGTATTTCCTAATTAATCTCCTCCAAATTAGGCTCCAAATCTGCCCTCTTCAATTATGAAATATTACCTAATTAATCTGCCCTCTTCAACTAGAAAATACTTTCTAATTAATTGGCCCCCAAATTAGCCCTCAAATATGCTCTCTTCAATTAAGAAATATCTCCCAATTAATTCCCTTTGACTAAGAACTTTCCTAAACAACTCTCTCTTGATTAAGAAATTTCCTAGTTCCCTCCAAATCAAATCAGCCGATCCATCAATACTCCTCTCCCAAAGTGACACTTTGTCCTCAAGGTGGAACAAAGAAAACTGTTATTGACTACTAGCACTGGACTGAAAAATGGGCCGACACTGGGTCAAATGATCCCCGCCTCCAGCATCTCCCTAATCAATCTCTCGATCTCATCCTTCTGGATTTGAGGATAATTAGTAAAATTATTTCGTCAATTATGAAGAGTAATTCTTATGATGAGGTTACATATAAGGAGCCCAATGTTTGGCAGGACGTAAATCGATTATAAATACGTGGTTGATGTACTAGTACGTTACCCAATGTGGTCCTTACACTGCTTCAGACTACCATTTGAGGCATTTGTACAACTGAAGGGCCTATTAGCTAGTCAAGCGATCGATTAATACCAAAAACATTGTTGCGGCAAAATAATTAGGGATTTTTCTTAGAAGGGTTGCTTCCCATAATTATAGACAACTGCATGAGTTGTTCTAAGACTCCCTAAAAACCATCATTAGATGTTTTAATCTAGTATTGCAAGCAATTGTCTCATTATCAGAGGAGTTCATTAATTTTCCCCTAATCGAAACAAAGTGTCATCCCTTCATATGATCCAATGCACAATTTCATCTTTACTTTAAAAATGCAATTAGAACGATGTATGGTATGCATGTCCCTACAATTGTTGGTAGACGTTTACAAAATAGAGCATAAAAGAAAGAGATTTACTTCTCAAAATGTCATAGTGGCAATCTCATTTGATATACAATTTGTTTATTTCGCCTCTAGCTGGGAGGGGTCTACAACTGATATGAGGGTCCTACGATGGTCAGTGGAGGGATAGTTTATTATTTGTTTGACTCCTGCTACACCAATATTGATAAGTTCATTGCTCTCTTCAGAGGTTATTGAGACCATATGAGTGATTAACATGCAGGTACATCTTGAAGATGCTCAGTTAGGCAGTAGTTGTTTAATCATTAGCATGACAAATCTTGCAATATAATGAAGCAAACTTTTGGCATATGAAAAGAGAGATTTTAAGTGCTAACTCATAGGATGCAATTTTTGTTGATTGTGTAAGCAGAGGTCATGCTTGTTTGTGCACTATTACACAATTTTATTAGTTGCTACCACAAATATGATATATATTTAATATCTAAAACTAAAAAGCAAATCGCTGAGATCAGTGTGAAGATCCAAATATACATGCAACAATTGGGGAAAGAATTAAGGGGATATAGTGAGACATGTAATCACCACTAACTTGTGGGAAGCTCGGGTAAGAATTTAATTTCAATTAATAAAATTTTATTTCATTTTTAATAGGTAATCTACTAATGCATTTTTTTATCACAAACAATGAATCAACGAGCCACTCAACTTGATCAGCTCGCTCATATTACGGTAGCAAAAGCAACATATTGATATTTAATTGTATTTTGTTCTTATATGTCTCTTATTGTGTACAGCCTGTTTATGATTTAGTTATTAAATGCAATCATATAAATTGCCCTGATTTCAGCAAAACAAAGTCTGCTAGCATTTTGACTACCTATGGATGTTTTGTATTTAAAGACCACTGTGTTATCATGTGGGAAACATCTAAATATGTACTTCCAAAATAATGCTCAAAGTATTCAAGGTAAATTTCTATAATGCATGTGTATAATATTGCCCTACAACAAAATCATGTATGTTGCTACGTTTGCTTTTGGTTTAAATATACATCTTCATTGAATTGTTTAAATTTTATCTTATCATTTATAGCAAACATGTTCCTATATACTTCCATCAAAATTCTACAATTTGATCACTTTATTTAATCCTCTATCATTATCACAGTTGAAGTATATTGCCTCAAAATTCATGTACGTGTAGACATTAATTAATCGCATTAAATACTAGGAGTTACTAACTATCACGACAAATAATTTTCAAGATTTAATCAAGATTTTTTTTTTCTTAGAAGATGATATTCAACAAAGGTGGATGAGATATTTTGCTAAACTTTTTAATGAAGATTGTGAAGATACGGTTGACTTTAGTGACTTTAGCACCCTAAATGAAAATAAAGATTTTTAATTTTATCGGCATATTAGTAAAACCGAAGTTAGAGAGGCTTTAAAGAAAATGAAGTGTGTAAAAACTGTTGGACCTGATGATATTCCAATAGAGATGTGGAAATGCTTAGGAGATTAAAGAATTTCTTGGCTTACTAAACTTTTTAATACTGTTTTGAAGACTAAAAAGATGTTAGATCAGTGGAGATTGAGTGTATTAATTCCTATTTTTAAGAATAAAGATGATGCACATGAGTGTGCGAATTATAGAGAAATTAAATTAATGTGTCATACTTTAAGACTTTGGTAGCGAGTTATGGAGCGTAAGTTGCGGCGTGATACTAATGTTTCTCAAAATCAATTTGGATTCATGTCGGGTAGGTCTACTACGGAAGCCATACATTTATTGAGAGGTTTGATGGAGAAATATAGAGAGAATAAGGAGGATCTATATATGATATTTATTGATTTAGAGAAAGCATATGATAAAGTTCCAAGAGAAGTGCTATGGAGAGTTCTTGAAAAGAAAGGAGTTAATAACGCTTATATTCAAATCATTAAAGATATGTATGCAAGAGCTATTACTTGTGTTCAAACACAAGGTGGTTTGACCAAGTATTTTCCTATTTCGGTTGGATTACATCAAGGATCAACCTTAAGTCCATATCTTTTTGCTTTAGTCATGGATGTTCTCACTAGACATTTGCAAGAGGATGTACCTTGGTGTTTGCTTTTTGTTGATGATATTCTTCTTGTCGATAAGACTAGAGAGGGAGTTGAAGGTAAACTTGAATTATGGAGGTCAACCTTAGAATCTAAAGGTTTTCGCTTGAGTAGATCTAAAACTGATTATATGGAGTGTAATTTTAGTAGCAATAGACCTATTGAGGGGATGGTGACTTTGGGCGATCAAGTCATAAGAGTACATGTTTTAGATATATTGGATATATTGTTCAGAGTGATTGTGAAATAGATGGGGGTATTATCAGCAGAGTTCAAGTTGGATGGTTGAAGTGGAGGAATGCTTTGGGCTTATTGTGCGATAGAAAAGTCCCCCACAAACTAAGGGAAAATTCTATAAGATGGTGGTGAAGAAAATATTAGAAATGATCTTTCTTTATTAGATTTAAATGAGAATTTGACTTTTAACATGACACGATGGTGAAAAAGGATTCATGTAGCCGACCCCACGTAGTGGGACAAAGGCTTGATGTTGTTGTTGTAATCAAGATTTACTAAATCCTTCTTGAGTCAAATCCTACTTGCAGCCAAATAACCCCTTAGCAAATCTAGGATTTACCATGAAACGAAGTAAAAGTGAGACATTCAAACCCTAAGGGCCTGTTTGGCAATAAGTAGGATTTAATTTTATTTGGATTTACTAAATCCTTTAAATCTGAATTTAGTAAATAGTGACATGTTAAATCCTAAAAACTGTTTAGCAATATAGTTGTTAAATCCAGATAAATCCTGTGAGACCGTTTAGCAATGTAATCTAGGATTTAAGGTGGCTAGTTCATTTAAAAATTAAATTTAATGTATTTTAAATTTAATTTACATGTTAAGTCCAAATAAGTATTAATATCAATTTTAATTACCGTGAATGGAATAATTATATATTTAATTATATTTATAATTTATAAATAATTAGTTAACTATTTTTTAATAACTAATTATTTAACTAATTACTTAAGTGTTATTTAGTTAGATTTAATTATAAATTATACTATTAATTATCTCATTAATCACTTAAGTATCCTACTACTCATTAATTATTTAATTATTATTTACATCGATAACTATATAATTAATAATTTTTATTTCAAATAATATTAATTAAGCTAATTATACTATTAATGATTTAATTAAGACAAATCAGATAATAAATTTATGCATTAATTATACTACTAACTATTTAATTAATTTACTTAATTATTAATATTTTAAATTATATTTATTAAGTTAAATTAGATTATTTTTTTTCAATATATTTAAGGATTCTAGGGTTTGCTTTTTCATCTTTTCTATTTCGTCGTTGTTGTTTGACTTTATTGCTTCGTGTGAGGTAGAGTTTTGCACGAGTCACTTCTTCTACTCATTTGTTGTTGTTCGACTTCGCTCCTTCAACGACATTCCCTTCCTGTTGAATCAGAAGTCACGACATTTTAATTAAAAGCAACTATGAGAGCCCGCTCGTCATAAAGTTAACTATATTTCTCCTTTTCGTGAGCTTCTTTAGCCAAATCCCGTAAATCCACGAAATTTCAGGATTTACAAAATCCGGGATTACGGTCCAAAGGGGGAAACAGAGGATTTAATCCGCTGTGAGATTTAAGCTTCATTTTGACAGCTTTCTTACTGCTTTCTAAAGCAACTTTTAGGAAAAAAAAATAAACTATAAATTTTGTACTAAAAAGTTACTTTAAAAAACAGTGAAAAAGCTCTCCCAAATGAAGCCTTAGTGGGTGGGTCAAAGCCCATCTGGCAGGATTTGGCATAAATCCTGCTCAAATGCAGCATAAATCCTTTTAAATCCTGCATCCAAACAGCCCCAAAGGATTTATTTCCGCCTTTTTCGCTATTTGGCAGGATTTTTCATAAATCCCACCAAAATCCTGCTTAAAAGTCGCAACCAAAAATCCTCTTAATTTATACAGATTAACGGCATATGGGAAAAAAAGGAAGGAGTTTCCTCTGAAATCCCAAAAAAAATTGTAGAACATAACGAGCTAACATAACAAACGTCATGGATAAGAATTTACTTAGAAGAACACATTAAACAGAATGAGGGACGAACAAAACATCTCCCACCTTCAAAATTTAAACTTCCACGCAGAAATTTTTTTTTGATCCGTGATAACTTACGGTGGGAAACGTGTTACTTGTATAAGATATGAGCATGCAGGTCTTGCCGACCGCGCCATCCCCAACCGTCACGCACTTAATAAACCTTGATGCGCTCATCTCCTCGAGAGATCTCTTTCCCTCGTTCCCGTATCAATCTCAAGCGAAGCCGCCCCTTCTTCTTCTTCGCCTATCTGCTGGCCGGCAGCCGGCGTCGCCTCTCTTGCTCGTCCTCTTCAACTACGCTGCCGAGGACACAAAGACCACAACCCGCATTCCCCAGCCAGACCTGAAACACCCGTCAAATGACAGAAAAACAGAAGCGGAGAGGAAAGACCAGAGAGGCCGAGGCTGGGAGAAAGTCCAGACCTAGGAGAAATTATTTTGTGCTGAGTCCGGACGGAAGAACTGTCATCTGAGTATCAAGAGGAAGAAGAGATCTGCGAGACGGAAATCTCTTTCCCGGCTCTTTGTTTCTGTGATTTACTTCTTTTTTTCGATAAAAAATGGATTTTTCTTGTCAATTTGGGTGTTGGGGTGCAGAGATGGAGCATTTGAATCCAATAAATAAATAAGTCGCTAATTTTTTTCTTTTGAAAATAAATATAAACCTAAAATGGTAAAGATCTCCTATTATAATTTGGTATAAAAATAAAACTAAAAAATTGAAAAAAAAAATGTTTGATTAAAATATAAAATAATATAATTTATTTTATGACTAACAAAATAAATTAAATATTATTTTAATTATAAAAATAACTATTTAATATTATTATACAATTAGCTTAAATTTTATCAAATATTTTATTCATGTAATGATTTACTTTATATATTGAACATAAGTTTATATTAGGAGCTCCAACCTCATTTATTTAAAACTTTTGGCTTTATATTCATTATAATATATGCAAGTGGTCAAACATCTCAATTATATAATTTTTAAAAAAATATGCTTGAAAGTTTATTTAGTATGAAATTATAACAAATGACAGATAACATTTGGTATTCATGGACTTTATTATTATTATTCAAAGTCATTCGAAATGAGTTAAAATTTGAATGGCTTCAAAATTGATTTGAACCTCATTCAAAGCTTAGTGTGGTTCTCACAAAGCTACTTGGCATTGATAGGATTAGTGATGTGAAAGAGAAAATGGGTTTATGATGATGCTCATTTGGTGCATGTATCATGTGTGAAGAAGAAAGGAACTGAGTATAAATATTAGAAAAAAATTACAAAAATTTGCAAATATTAAATATAAAAATTAATATATTATTACCCCAAAGTGTAAAAAATTACACAAAAAAACTATGAAATTTATGTACAAATCAACTCATCTTCTCTAGATCCATAAACACTCCTCAAATGAACTTCTTCCAACTTTATTATCAAAGTGATATTTATATTCATGGTAGTGTTGAGCCCTATCTCATGACAAATGAACAATATCATCGACATGAACTTAGTTGGGCATAGTTGCCGTAGAAAGAATACAACGTGCCTATAGAAGAATTAAAAGAAGCATCTTGGAAATGAGAATTGGAGAAGCATGTCACATACGCATTCATTGAAGATGGAAGAGGAGCTCCATAAACCAAATCTTATTGAACGGAAGATGGCAAGAATGCATTTTTTGGCAACCCAAAAGCCTTCTTTACATTCCTAAAAAATCTTCATCACGAACTTCTCTTTTTCATCAGATGTTTTCGATCTCATCAATTCCTTCCGCCAAAGACTGTCATCATAAACTTCTCTTCTCCTAAACACACCACTTATCCCATATTCCCTCAACAAGCTCAATGAGAACAATGAACTACACCAAGTTTCTAGCTTTAGTTCAAACAAAGGATCAAATAAAGGTTTGAACATGTTTGAATTTTAAAATGTTTTGAATTACTTATGATTCTAATCAGCAGTTCATGAATACAAGAGATTATCTTTTATTTGGAGTAATTTTATCTAGAATGAACTGATGGGCATATTTATCTAAATAAACATATGGTAGAGCTATTTTTCCAATGACATGTTTTAAGAGGCATATAATGCCAATTTTTCCATTAGTTTTCAAAATAAACAACCTCCCACCTACTATTAGGTGTGAACCTTAGCTTGGGTTTGTATGATGGTTTAATTAGGTTTATAATGTTTCTATAAGATGTTAGGAATGATGTATTGTAATTGGAAGGAGTAAAGGAGAACTGGTGTAAGAGGCCCAAGAAATGGGGGTTGATCAAGTGGTATGGTGTTTATTTGGCTCATAATTCCACATTGGAGGAAATTAATTTAGTACATTGAAAGTGAATAACTCTAGGGGATAAAATGAGATGTCCCCATATCTAATTGGAAAGAATTATATTTTTTAAATCTTCTACTTATAAGTCAGAACCACTAATCATATATTTCTAAAAATAAAGAAGCAAAAATATCATTTTATTTCATATAAACATTTATATATATATATATATATATATAACACCCAAAAAATCATATACAATAGCCATAAATTCTATCATAGCAGACTACCTCAAATCATTTATGACTACAAAATAAATAAAATATAAAATATAAAAGAAGTATCTATCACTAGGAATATGATCAGCTTCACCTCACCATATCCCTACCCTTCTCTGAAATCATGTAAAATTACATATAATGTGCTAACAACCAAATAGTCACTAAAATTTTCTACTATACTCAATGTAAGAGAAGCAAAACAATATCCATGTAATCATTCACATCATAGCAGCATAACATATCTATCAATTCATGTGAATAGGAACAATGGTGATCAGTGCGAACAATATTAATTAATATGAATCATACTCATGCGATCGATTAGTAATTTTTGATTCAATCATATTTCAGTGTGTCATAAAAATGTTACAAGAAGACTAGCATATGAATCAAAGAATCAATGTAATTTTATCATGATTGTATTCATTATTACTGTAATTTAGCACCATGAATGTCATATCTATATTAGTATATCTATTGTTATACATGTCATGTCATGTTAGTACAAATGTATCACAAATCATATATGTATCTTATATTAATGCTATTAAGTATATTATCATGTATCAATAGTATATGTCATATAGTGGTGTCTTGTATCATATATCATATTATGTATCATGTTATAATATCAAGTGCAACATGTAATGTGTTTATATATTTGACACATGTAAAGTCAATGGATCATCAACCCATTATGACATGACCAGATTCAAAGTAATCCATTAAATTTTTGAATTTGATTCTTTCATATGTGTCTTAGAATGTTTTGGGTGCATGTGATCTGAAATGGATACTATGGTCTGTTTGCATGTTTAAAAAAGTCTGATTTTTTCCCTTGGGCGTTGTGCCGTTGAGGATGGTGGAGTTTCAACGTCAATGCTCTTAGAAAAAATTGGAAAATAATTCAGTATGATGGCGCTGTAAGTGGCACACTGTGTTGTGGACTCTTTGAGGGAGATCTGTGGAGAGGGGAAGGGCACCGCAACTCTAGGTTGCAGTTTAATATCTAAAATATCTAAACCCATTATTTCATTCAATTCATTTCATTTGGGCTACCTGGTTGTGTGTGTGTGTGTGTGTGTGTGTGTGAGAGAGAGAGAGAGAGAGAGAGAGAGAGAGAGAGAGAGAAAGAGTGTGTGTGTGTGTGTGTGTGTGAGAGAGAGAGAGAGAGAGAGAGAGAGAGAGAGAAAGATGATATTTTGAGCCACTTCAACTCTGACACCTCAATTCTAAAAGTTATCCAACTTAAGGTAGCTTTAAAATATAAATATATGGTGTTTGATTTGAGATAACTTTAAACTGGAAAACTTTCACTATATAACTTCTAGTATGCACAGTGAACATAATTCTAAACATTTAGATATTTTTTTATAAAATTTCTGCCATATATTTTTGAAATGCTATTTTCCTAAGACTATAGAAAAATATTCAAGCACCAAAATATAGCATTGTAGAATAATTGAACTTATGAAATATAATTTTGCACAATCACTGATAATTTGGAAGAATTTTGAGTAAGTGAAAATTTACTACATTGCACTAGGTTCAATTGCTAAAATGTTGCCCGAAGAGAAAATCCCTAAAATTATATAAACTGCCCAATTTATTTTTAACAGCTTAATTGTAATGTTATATGGCATAATTTATATTCAATTCAATATACTACACTTGGAATATTATAACCTGCATAGTTATCTCCAACACCTTATGTTATTTAGATCTATTGTAAGTTTGCTATTAAGCTTTGAATAACTATTTTATTTTCTGTTATTGGTTTTAAAATTATTAAGAAATAATTTGGGTAATACAATCTGCTAAGCCATGTAGCTCGTTTTGTATTCAACATTTAATTTTCAGGTCAGGGTATAGGTAAAAGGTCGGTTAAGTATATGAGGATGTTTTTTCTACTTTGGTTATAGGTACATTTTATGTTTTTTTTTTTAGATTTTTTTAATAGTCCTAGTATTTCAGTATTTCCAGCCCTATCTTTATCTATTGTTGGGGACTGTGATAGTAATAATTTGTAATATATACTTTTATGGATAAATAGAAAGAAATATTTTTTTGTGAATGAATATATTTATGTATAGTAGAAAAAATTGGAAGCTATGGTGTTTGTTATTCGAAAAAATTTTGATATTTCTCCAAATAAAAAATCTTGTATGTGTAATTTCATCTCTATTATGCCACTATCTAATACAATGTGACATGTATTTTGGGGTCATATTAGGTTGGGTTGTGACAACTCTTTTGATATTAGAGCATATTTTAGAGAAATAAATTATACATAGAGCTATAATAATTGATTTGTAGTTATTTTAAAAAGTTTTGGATAATATCATTCACTCTTTTTTATTTTTTTATTCATGAATTTTTATCAGTTGATGTGTTTGTGCTCTGAGTTATGATTGATTAGCCCATGCGTGACATGAATGACGGGCAGAGTGCAAGCTAGAGTGCACAAATAGTCAGTATAACTCCTATTGTTGATTTTATATGATGTCATAATTTATTAGGTTAGTATCACAATTAATAAGCGAGGCCTAGAATAGGAGTTCTTCAAGTATGACTAGGGATGTGGATCGATATCTGTAGATATTTTTTTTAAGTTGAAGCCTCTAAGATTCAAGGGTATTATTGAGCTTATGGTTACAGATGATTGGTTGATAAGGTAAGAGAAGACCATTGTGAAAGTACGTTAGGGATGTTAAGCCCTTATGAACTAGCCCGAGGCTAACTAAGAGGGGGGGGGGGGGGGAATTTTTTTTTTATGGGGGGGGGGGTGAATTTGTATTTTAAAATTTTCTCAAACAAAATCACAGTCACAACCAAACAATCAATAAAAATAAAGTGCGAAAATTAAATGTGAAAAATACAATAAGAAATAACACACCACACTATAGGAAATTCATCAATTATCGGCGGCCTGGACCAGCGGTTGTCTAGCCGCAGGTATTCACGGCAATTTATCCGGTGGTTCGACCGCCGGTTAATACCGGCGGCCTAACCGGCCGTTATGCAAGCTTATGCCG